ACCCGGTCGCCGGGAAAGATCCGCGAAACCCGGGATGGTCTCCACGCCCGTTCTCGCGAACTCGTTAGTAGTCACGAAAGTCGCTTCGATCCGATCCTGATATCGTCCTCCAATAGCGATTTCGTTCCAAAAATTCAGGCGTGCGGCGTCAATCTGGACCAGAGAATGTCGGCGTCCCCTCCTGACCACACCCTGAAGTCTGTCAAGACGGGCTGGTCCAAGGCCATATCCGCGCGCTTCCTTGACATATCGACCAGGCGGACTCGTTTCCACTTCCAAGCTCAAGCCAGGCGCCGCAGGCCATAAAGAGGAGCGCAGATTAAAATGGCGCCGGAGGCTCCCCGCGGGGCCGTCCGCGCAGAGAACCTTTGTCTAAAAACAAAACAAGAAAATCGATGAGACACCACTAGGGGCTGGGGGGCTCCGATCTCCATCTCTCCAGTACTCTCCAATCTCCAGCGTCGCTACATCTTAGGCCGGATCCAGTCAGATCTCCGATCTCCATCTTCCATCTCCAATCTCCAACGTCGTCATCTTAGGCCGGATTCAGTCAGATCTCCGATCTCCATCTCCAATCTCCAATCTCCAATCTCGATTCGGGGGCCCGGGGGAGGAGGGGGGCTCAAACCTTCAAGGAGATGCGCTATGGATTCATTCACATAGCAAAAGGATCTCCACACTCTTTTCGCGCCATTTTGCAATCTCCAGTCGGCCCACACGATCTCTAGGCGCCTTTGGCGCGAAGTCAGAATCTCCACCTCTGTCGCAAGATCTCAAGCGACTGCACGCACCAACTCGAGATCTCAGACTCCTCTCGAGCATCTACTCCGGAGAAGATTTGCCTCCACCAGTTCTTCAATCTACTGCTGCTCTTGGCAGGAGATTTGCCACTTAAGAGATCTCTGAAAGGCATCTACGATCTACAGTCCAAGGATCTTCCGATGTAGCGCAGAGATTTCCATGTATGTGCAGCGCCTTCGCGCAAGCGGGTGTGGGAGCTGGGAGGCGTACGCAAGAGGGTGTAGGCCCAGTTGCGGCCGCGTCGACTCGAGGAGAGCAGCTCTAGGAGGGTACGGGGTGTACCCTACCAAACTACGTACTACCATTCTATGGGCCGTGACCGGTGGCCCCGTGGGCCGGCCTCGCGCAGAGCACGCGTGCTCCGCGCCCCGAGGACGCCACAGCAGCGATGTCCCACGAGCCACGTCGGCGCTGTCCGACACCCACTCCTCCCGTCCGGGACATATCGGGACCCGCGGGCGACGTTCCAAGACGCAAGAGCTGCCAGTTCGACCCGCTGCAAACGTCACTCTCGTCAGCAGCGCGGCCCGCGGGGTCAAGGCTCAAAAAAGTAGGTCGCTATCGTCGAGCACCCGACGGCTGCGGGCGCCGGATTTCTTTCTTCAGAATTGACCCTGGAGGCTGCAGCTGAAAAGTTCCGAGGGGACGATCCAGTCTGCCCCAGCTGCGGCGCGCGCGTAGGAGCCGCGTGGTCCGCCAACTTGCGGGCTGAGACGCGTGGTGGACCTGGTGGGCTGGTGGTGAGGGTACTTAGTACTGGATAGACCAAGTGAGAGGCGACCCTGCTCAGGGAATGACCCCGGAGACACAGTTACGCGCAACAAGAGCGTGTGAAAAAAAATGGGCAAATGAGCTCGATTCCAGCTCAGGTGTCGCCGCCTCCGTAGAGCGTTGCCGGCACGAACACAGGTGTCGCCGCCTCCGTAGAGCGTTGCCGGCACGAACACAGAGACATAGTGCGCACCCCGAACGCGCCCGGCGTTTTTCTTAACGACACCTCAATTCGCGCAGCTCCAGGTGTCGCCGCTCTCACATATCGCGATGCCGGGTTCCGGGTTCCCCAAGGTCCGTGTGAGCCTGAGCGGTGACGGCCACGCCGGCGGCGGGGACGGAGGCGGCGGTGGGGGGGGCGGGTACGGTGGCGGTACTGGCGGCCGCAACGCCTGGTGTGGAGTCTAAGGGGCGGCCCCTTGACCCTGGCACGATCTGTCTTGTCCTCCCCATGACATGACGGAGTGTCCCTGTAATGCGAGAGCGTTACTTGTGTTCTTGTCCCTGTCCGGCGAAGTATTTCTTTCTCCAGAATTGAGCTTCAGCTCCAGTCGATCATGCGGTGGGGAGATGGTTTGGCGCCGACGGACCGCCCTCTCCACCACCCTCGCCCAGGGATCTACAACGCTGTCTTAAGGTCCGACAGGTTCGGCACCGGGGCACCGCCTCGGTATACAAAATGCGCCTAGATCACACATCCCAGGTACGCTTTCTTTCTTCAGAATTGACCTTCACCTCCAAGGTCGCGACCGTCGGATAATCATCGGAAGGCGAACAAGAGGAAGAACTCAGAGGAGAGGGGAGCCTCCTCCGGAGTGAGGATGAGGACCCCGCGCGAAGGGGCCCTGAGCGGTGACGGCGTGTGAGAGTGCGTGTCGTGTTCATGTCTGGTGTTCATTATAGCTCCGAGTAGAGGGGGCGTTCCGCTGCTAGGGGAAGCCCGGAGCGCGGAGCTAACCCTCGGAGACCCGTGTTTACTTTAAGGCCCTTTCCCTGCGAACGCGCACCCCCGGGGCTAGGGCTCTCTAGCCAGTCTCTAGCCCGTAACCCGATCCCGATCATCCGGCCCGCTGGGTGCGCTTCTTAGCTCCCCGGCCCTGGATGTGAGGTTGCCGACTGCACTCCAAGTGCTCCAAAAACTCCCTTTTACAGGCTGTTGCGCAACACTGCTCACTGGGCACGCACGGGAAGAATGCCGCCTCTGGTCGTGTGTCCCCACCAATACTCGAGGCGGTAGCGGTTTGGGTGACCCTGTCGGTCGCGTTGTGTCCCCGTTCCCTCTCCCCGACCGGTCCCCGACCCCAAGCTCAGGCACATTTGAACGGGGGAAGGAACGGTGCCTGAGGGGGTCAATTCTGGACAAAGAAATACGCGGGCCACAAGAGCACAACGAACGCTCTCGCATTACAATGGACACTCCGTCATGTCATGGGAAGGACAAGACAGATCACCCGAGCAGGTGCAGCCTCGGCCCTCGCTAGCGCGCGTGCGTTTCTTTCTCCAGAATTGACATTCAGCTCACAGGCAAGCTCGTTCGGTCCTCCGCCTCGGTCCGCGCCTCCACGTACGTCCAGCACCGGTCGCACGTCGTTCAGAAGACGATCAAGAAGAGGGGACCGTTCCGTTTGCTCAACCCGAGCGGCCGTCTGGCGCCTGAGAGCGCGGTTCATACCTCCGGCCGGGTCATGATGCCGATGGCGCGGTCTGATCACAGCTTCCCCGCCATCTTCAAGCACGAACACGTGTCGGTGTGTGTCATGGAGCGAGTCATGCGAGGGGCAGCTGCCGACCTCTCGGCGGCCTTTCTTCCAGCCCTCCCAGGGGTCAGCGCGGCGCTGGCGTGCCAGGAGGGCCTCAAGCACGCCGAGAAGATGCTAGAGGGTGACTGCCCCTTTGTCGGCGCCAGCAGCCACCTCTACTCCAAGGGCTCGCTGGGTCTGATGCCAACCAAGCCGGGTCACGACGACAAGAACGGCCCCGCCACCAGCACATGCTGGCAGAACCTGGGGGAGGCGGCGTCGGGGGCGCAGCTCGAGCTCGTCGCCGTGGTGCACGGCCATGAGGTCATTGTCGAGGCGCCCATGGGGACCGCCGTGCTCTTCAAGGCGTGGCTGCCTCACCTGACGCGCGCCTCTGCCGAGGGCCCCAGCCCCGCGCCGCAGGATTGGCGCCTGCACCACACCGCGTACTGGCGCTTCGGGACCGAGTACTTTGCGTGGGTGGCGCGCGACTTCCACGCGGCAGGACAGGCGCTTTCGTGCAAGGACATCTAATTAATCATTGGTGGCCGGCGCACACACACGCACAGACTTCTGGTGGCCGGCGCACAGACTTCTGGTGGCCGGAGTGAGTGTGAGTAGACGCACGCGGCAAATTCTTCTCGTGTTGTTCTACGTCGTTCATAGGCTTGAGGTGCCAACTTCAGAATCGACAGAGATTTTTCTCTCGTCATGCTAGCTAGCACGCGCCAGCCAGTCCGCACCTTGTGTGAAGTTGGGTGCCCTGCGACGCGCCAGAAAAGAAAAACGTCGTCGAACCTCGTCGCTATCAGCTATCGACCTACCGTGTCCTAGACCCCCTGGCTGCGTGTCTTCTTCCGCAGCTTTCATCCCTCGCCTCCGTCGCCCTGACCCTCCCTCTTGGCATGGCTGGAAGTGCTTACAGTCAAAATAGTTAGAGGCTGCGCAGGCCGTCCCGTTTGCTGTTTGAAACGCCTGTTGCGCGCTGCGCGCGCGCTGCCGGGGCTCTGTCTCACTCACGTGCCGCAATATGTGTCACACACGGCGGCTTCTGCCACCTCTCGATTGGTTCCACTTTCTACGCACACCTACCGCTCAAGGAGCGCTTGGGAGCGGGGGCGGGGGCGGGGGCGGGGGCGGGGGTGGGGGCGCGCAGCGCGGGGCGCGCGCGCGCAACAGAGGGTAGGGTGGGGAAGACGGCGAGGAGGGGGTGGCGGCGGCGGCGGCGGCGGCGGCGGCGCGCGCGGCGCGCGCGACGGGGGGGCGGAGCAGCGACCGCTAGGGCGGGCGCTGCTCCGTCTGTGACAGACGCGCGCTCTGCCGCTGCAGAGCGCGCGCGTCAGGCCAAGGGGTATGCGTTGGGGTCGCTGGAACCGTTGTCCCCGGCGTGCAACCATCCCTCCGGTATCGGTGAGTCTGTCTTTGACTAGCCCCTCGCTGTTGGACGGCTCCTAGAGAGCATGCCCACACCCCGGAG